CTCAGTGTGATCTGGGAACAAGGTCACAGTTTTACAGGCTCTCATACAAAAAAATTAGCCAGGCACGGTGATGCGTGCCTGTAATCCCAGCTACCTGGGAGGCTGAGGCAGGAGAACCACTCGAACTCGGGAGGCAGAGGTTGCTGCGCTGATCAGAGATCACGCCATTGCACTCCAGCCTGGGCAACAGAGTAAGAAATAAATAAAATACAGGCTCTCTCCACACATGCAGCATTGCCAGTAGCTTTTAGCAACCCACTCTTACATATGATTAAATATGATTTTTAAACAACCACCAGGCACTCAAGGAAAGCCTTTTGTAGTAGTGACAGATAAACAAGCAAGAAGGAAAAAAAAAAGCAACTTGCCTCCAGTGAGGAAAATGTTGTTATCATTAACATGCTCACAGAAGTAAGATATTACATTGTGAAATAAAAAGATCATTCACGGCCGGGCGCGGTGGCTCAGGCCTGTGATCCCAGCACTTTGGGAGGCCAAGACGGGCGGATCACGAGGTCAGGAGATCGAGACCATCCTGGCTAACATGGTGAAATCCCATCTCTACTGAAAAAACAAAAAACTAGCCCAGTGTGGTGGCAGGCGCCTGTAGTCCCAGCTACTCGGGAGGCTGGGGCAGGAGAATGGCGTCAACCCGGGAGGCGGAGCTTGCTGTGAGCCGATATCTGGCCACTGCACTCCAGCCTGGGCAACAGAGCGAGACTCTGTTTCAAAAAAAAAAAAAGATCATTCACATTAAAACATTTGGAAAACAAAAAGCTCCTAAAGGGGGGAAAAAAAATAAGAGTCGAAACAGAAAACCTCAAAGGGCTGAAAAACAAAGTGGAAATCCCCCAGAAGGAAGGGCCAAAAATGATGGAAAATATAAGAGAAAATAAAGTTAGAACAGAGGAAACACAGCGGGGAAATCATCTATGAAATAACTCAAGATTTTCCGGAACTGAAAGACAGTTTCCAAACCTTATGAATCTACCTGGTATCTACCCAGATGGAAGAAAACAGATCCATACTAAAGCGATGGGCTGCAAAATTCAGAATACAGGTGCTGCCTGAATTATGACAGGACTACGTCTCAACAAACCCATCATACTGAAAATATCATAAGAAAAAATGCACTTAATACAGAGTACTGTATGAATGCCCCAAATGCAGAGTACTGGTCACTTACCCAGGTGACTGTGTGGCCCAGATGGCGTGAGAAGATCATACTGAATATTACTAGCCCAGGAAAAGATCAAAACTCAGAATTCAAAGTACAGTTTCTGTTGAATGTGTACTGCTTTCACACCATCGTAAAGTTGAAAAATTGAACCACTATGAGTCGGGGACTGTCTGTACTGGGGACATAAGGGAAGATCGATCCTACATGCTTTTTCTTAAGTCTTGTATAATGATTTAACTCCAAACTATTTCCATATAAATCTTTGATAAAAACAGCCAGCTGGGCACAGTGGCACACGCCTGTAATCCCAGTACTTTGGGAGGCCAAGGCAGGCAGATCATGAGGTCAGGAGTTCAAGACCAGCCTGACCAACATGGTGAAACCCCGTCTCTACTAAAAATACAAAAAATTAGCTGGGTGTGGTGGCGTGTGCCTGTAATCCCAGATACTCAGGAGGCTGAGGCAGGAGAATCGCTTGAACTCGGGAGGCGGAGGTTGTGGTGAGCTAGATTGCGCCACTGCACCCTAGCCTGGGCGACAGAGCGAGAATCCATCTCAAAAAAAAAAGTCAACATATAACCCATTACAGTTCAATAAATATTTCTCAAGTATCTACTTTTTTCAAAGTACCAGAATTCAAGGTCTTCAACCTATCTGTAGCTGAAGTCTTTAGGGAGCTTTTAAAAGCACCAAGGTTCCAAATAAATCAGAAGCTCTGGGGTTGAGGCCTAGGCACTGGTAGTTTTAGAAGCTCCCTAAGTGAATCTAATTTGCAGGCTGAGAACCACAGTACCAGATGCTGCTGGATCACAGGAGAAGACTTAAGCATCAGTCCCTATACTTCAGCTTACAATTAAGTTGAGGGATGTACAAGTGGTAACAACAATCTGACCCAAAGCAGAGTGGGTCTTAAGCACCTGAAAGGGCTCAAAGAAGGAAGGGATTTCTCGCTAGGACTGTAGTGTCCAATATGGTAGCCACTAGCCACATGTGGTTATTCAAATTTAAATGAATTAAAATAAAATTAAAAATTCAGTTTCTCAGTCACGCTAGCCACAGTTCAAGTGCTCAAAAACCACACGTGGTTACTGGCCACCATATTGGGCAGCGCAGATGTAGGAACATTTCCATCATCACAGGAGGGTCCCCATTGGTCAGCGATGGGCTGGAGGGACCAAAAGCGAGAAGGTATTTAAAGCCAGATAGCTGAGTTAGAAAGTGGTCCACAAAGACTTGGACAAAAGTATGGTTATGGTCAAGATAAAGAATGTTTAAGAATCAGAAAGCAGAGTACACTGGGCTAGATTTTGATAAGTGGACATTAAAGGCTTCATTCAACAACTACAAATGAGAGGGGTTCTTGAACCAGGCTACCTGGGTTCAATCCCAGCTCTGTCACTCATGGGTGACTCTGGCAAGTTATTTAGGCTCCCTAGAACTTGGTTGCTTCCTCTGTAAACTATGCACTTTAGCAACCCTCTCTTACATATGAGTAAATACAATTTTAATCATACAATGTACAACGAGGATATTACCTACCTTGCAGGATTGTGGAGAAAATTAAGTGCAATAACATGTATAAAGGCTTTATTACAATGCCCATCATACAGAAGTTGCACAGTAAATGAAAGCTGTTATTATCATCCCTACTCCCAATTCTGAAACACACTGCAATCAGCTTTGAAAGCATCATTACCTGTGTGGCTCCTCTGGTGGATTGCTAAAAAGTGATTGTACTTAAAGACCTTGCCACAGTCTTTACAACGGGCCTCAGGGCCTCCAGGGCGCTTTCTCCTTCCACAGATCCTCTTGGCTGACCCATGGTCCTCTTGATCCCCAACAAGTTTGTAATCTTTAAGTTTGACGGATCTCCAAATCCTCCGCTTGCTGTACCGACTCTGGCTTGCCGGGCCATCCTGGGTCTTGGGATCATAGTTCTCATCTTTTTCAACTGGCATTTCCTCCTCTCTACTTGGCTCACAAGCAGGCTCCGATTCTTCCTTTTCTTTCGCTGCAATCTGCTTATTCAGTACACTACTGTCTCCTTTAACCACGAAGTTTTGTCTATTCTGAACTGAATTGTTCACTCTTAACTGTATTTCTTCCTCTGCAGCCAGTTCTGACTTCTCCTCCTGCAATGTATTGACTTTTTTTGGTCTTCCCCGTTTCCGCTTTGGAGGATCGTTTTTCTTATTAGAGATAACAACCACTGGGGCACCAGCAGTGTTCAAAGTTGTTGGCTTTGGGGAGCTATGATTATTTTGGAAGTCTGTGTAAGCCTTTACCAGGTCATAGACTTTTAAGAACTGAGCAGTAGCCAGGATTTGTTCTGTACTTTTCTCACTGGCATGGAGATAACCTGTGTAGATAAATTCCAGCAGGATACCAAAGGTGTCTGCAACCATGCCTTCCAGCATATAAATGGACTGGCCGATTTCCCCCTCTTCTGCGAACATCATTGAGAAGTATTCACTACTGGCAGCAAGTAAGGCTTTGTGGGCCCGGAAATGGACATTCTCCACGATTAAAGTAATGTCACAGAGGAAGCCTTTCTTCCTCTGATCCTCAAAACTGGCCAGAACAGTGTCACTGTGAGCGTCTGAGTGTACAACAAGCTGCCCAGAAGGCTCTGGCGATGTTTCTGCCATTTTCTTCAGAAGCCACGAAGGGTTAAATCTGAAATAAGAAAACAAGGTTTAAAAAGGAGGAAGCACTGTCTAAAAGGTTAATGCCAGCCCACATGAACTTCCTATTCACTTCACATCATTAACTGAATTTTACCATTACCATTTTTAATTGTCTGTCTACAAACTTAGCTCTGGGCTCGGGCACAGTGACTCAGGCCTGTAATCCCAGCACGTTGGGAGGCCGAAGCGGGTGGATCACTTGAGACCAGCCTGGGCAACATGGCAAGAATCCATCTACACAAAAAATACAAAAATTAGCCTGGCATGGGGGTGCCCGCCTGTGGTCCCAGCTACTCGGGAGGCTGAGGCAGTAGCATCACCTGAGTCTGGGAGTTCGAGGCTGCAGTGAGCCGTGATCGTGCCACTGCACTCCAGCCTGGGCGACAGAACGAGACCACCACCTCAAAAAACAAAAACCAAAAAAACTTAGCTCGGGGATCTTTTCCTTTTTTTTTTTTTTTTTTGAGATGAAGTCTCACTCTGTCGCCCAGGTTGGAGTGCAGTGGCGCAATCTCGGCTCACTGCAACCTCCGCCTCCCGGGTTCAAGCAGTTCTCTCCCTCAGCCTCCTGCCGCACATTACCTAGCTGAGTGATTCTCCAGTATTCATGGAACGGTTCAGGGTCTATCTTCTCTAAAATGAAGGAATGGGATCAACCATCTCCAAAATCCTCCACAGCACGAACTTTCTATGGTTGCACAACTATCTCAAGGAGATGGAAGCTGCCTCCATCTCCCAGATTATTAGCCATTTCGTGTGTGGGAACCAATGTGAAGAGTGAAGAAATGTGCATATGCAAAGCGAATGTGAGGAAGCTGCAATAAAATACTAATAACGTAAGCTGCTTGGGGCCGCCAGACAAACTGGGCGCGCCGCGGAGCCCCCGGAGGTCCGAGTAGGGGGAGGAGGCGCGGAAAGACCCCCACCTCCCCGCCCAGGCCCCGCGGGCTCGACTGGGGAGCAGACGGCGGGGGAGGAGTCGGCGCCGTAGACCTACCTCTCAGGGGCACCCGGTGGGGTCCGGGTCGCTGCCAGCTCACCCGGCGGCCTGGCGGGAGACCCGCGCCGGGCCCCCGCCGGCCCTCCACTCCGCCCCGCCCGCCTCTGGGGCTTCTGCGCCGCACGGGCTTCTGCCCCTGCGCTGCAGCCGCAGCCACAGCCACAGCCAACCCGGAAGCGCGGCGCCAAGAGCCGCTTGCGCGCGGACGCCGGACCACGTGGCCCGCAGAGGCGCCCCTGGAGGTGGGGGCCACGAGAGCGGCGGGGCGGGGCACGGCGCGATGGCAGTTCGAGGGTTGGGGCGTGGAAGGGGCGGAGAGGGGTAAGGCGGGGCGAGAGTGCAGGCCCGGGGTCAGGGGTGCGGGGGTGCGGGGGGGCGGGGGCGAGGCGGCAGGCCCCGGGCTTGGGGGCCGGGGCCGGAGCAGGGCGGGGAGGGGCGAGGCGGGGGCGCGGCTTCGGAAGAGCGACAGTGGCCTGGGCGGGGCGCGGCCAAGGGCGGGGCGGTGTTGGCGCCCAAGGTCCTGCGTGTGGCACTGCAGTGGAGCCCAGACAGGAGCGACTTTTGCGGTGGATTGGGGGCAATGGACAGGAGAGGCGTTGTGACCCCTCCCTTTGGGAAGTTTTATATCGTATTAAACTGTTAGCTCAACGCCAATACCTTAATCTATTTTCTCTCTTCTCCAACACTGAATCTGGTGTTAAGTTCTTGAATGTATAAAGGCATGAAATCCCCCTTACTGTCATCATCATTGTCATCATCACTACCATCATCATTATCTAGTGCTAATAATAATAACTGTTACTTACCTCCTAAAAGGTTTTCACATCTGCCTCCTTTTCCTCCCCGCTCCCCATGCCTTAGTCTAAGGGAATGAAGAGAGCACTGCAGTCAGAGAAACCTGGGTTCTGAGAGATCTTGGGCAAATTACTTACCCTCACAATTTCTTTACCTTACCTATAAAATGGAGACGTGAAGGAGTGGCCTGCCTCTCCACACCTGTGGACGTTTCTCGTTAGGTAGAACGAGAGACTTGAGAAAAGAAATGAGACACAGAGACAAAGTATAGAGAAAGAAAAAGTGGGCCCAGGGGACCGGCGTTCAGCATACAGAGGACGCACGCGGGCACCCGTCTCTGAGTTCCCTTAGTATTTATTGATGATTATCTTTACCATCTTAAAGATAAGGGAGTGGCAGGACAATAGGATCATTGTAGGGAGAAAGCAGTAAGACATATGGATAAAGATCTCTGTGACATGAATAAGTTCAAAGGAAAATGCTGTGCCTTGATATGCATATGCAAACATCTCCATAAACCTTTTAGCAGCATATGTCTCTTGCAAGGACAAGGTTGGGGGTAGGGTCACAGATTAACAGCATCTCAAATACAGAACAAAATGGAGTCTCTTATGTCTACTTCTTTCTATATAGACACAGTAACAGGCTGATCTCTCTTTCTTTTCCCCACAGAGACGTTAACACTAGTGCCACTTTGGTAGGGTTGCTATTGCATAACCAAAAGTATGTAATGGGCTTAGGAAGTGTCTGGTTTAATTCCCCCACTATGATTAAAATGATCATTATTATTCAAACTTTCATCATCTTTGTTCAATAGACTGTTTCTAACTGGTCTCAGCTGCAGTGTTGTTCCCTTTAATACGCAGTAGTACAGAGGATCTCTCCAAGTACATATGAGATCCAGAGACTAGAGTCACTCCTCGGCTTAGAATCCATGTGGCTCCCACATGCCCTCTGGATAAAGTCCAAGCTTCTTAATATGGTCTACAAACCCCATCCAAATCCACTCCCCACCTACTTCCATCCATTTATTTCAGCATTTTCTCTCTCTTCGCCAATACCTAATTACTTATTATTTATTTTTCTGCCCATTTCCAAATTCCCAACATGCCATCTATAGCCTCCCCGATTTTGAACCGGAGGTGTAATTAGCAACCTGGCTCTTACATTTTTACTGTATTTTTATTAAAACTAGCTCAAGCCACACATGCTCCTTCTCTGAGGTTTCCCTTTCATATTGAATAGTCTGTAAGTCGTCTGGATTTGTGGGGGTACAAGCGGGATGGGGGAGCGCTCCCTGACTTTTGCATACCAGCAAAAGTTAGCTACCTCATTGTTTCTTGCTGCTAGGAGGGTTGCAGTCAAAACACTGGCCCTCTAGAGGTCCTCAACGGCATAAGATGACTCAGTGCCAAGGTAAGCCAGGTATTCCGTTTCCTCAGTCAATCATTGCTCACTGGAGAATAACCCTGTGAGGGAAGACTGAGTCTGGAGGATCTTCCAGCATCAGCCACCCACAACACAGACTAGCCCTTTCTTCAAGGCAATTTTGTTTTGGATCCATATTGATTTTTTCGAAACTTTTGTTACTGTTAAGGCCAGCTAGTCTACGCCTAACAGGTATTCTTAACTTTAAATCTTGCAGAACAGGATTTGGGGTGTCATACATTCATCTAACAGATATTTATCAAGTGCCTAGTAAGAGCCAGACATTGGCGTCAGGTGTTGGGGATACAGCAACTAATAAGGCCTTTGCTGTCATGAAGCTTACGTTCTACTAAGGGGAGACATGACAAATATACAAGTAAACTAATGAATAATAGTTTCAGAAAGTGTTAAATCTTATAAAGAATGATGATGGAGACTGACAGGGAAGTAAAATCAGGATAGGGCGACATTTGAGCTGAGATCTGAATGACATGGAGACAGCTGTGGGAAGATCTAGAATAAGAATGTTCTAGGCAAGGGAAAAGCAAGCATTAAGGCTCTGAGACTGGGAAGAAGCATCTGATGAATGGCAAGGACTGTGAGGCTGGAGCACAGTGAGTGAGGGGCAGCAGATGGAGTGGAGAGTTGCCAGATTTCACAAATAAAGACACAGGATACCCAGTTAAAAAAAAAAAATGCTGCCTCAGCCTCCCAGGCTGGGATTACAGGCATGAGCCACCTATACCCAGCCAAGAAAGAATTGTTTTCATATAAATTTAGTGTAGCTTAGAGCATACAATGTTTATAATGTCTATGGTGGTGTATAGCCATGTCCTAGGCCCTCACATTCACTCACCACTCACTCGCTGACTCACCCAGAGCAACTTCTATTCCTGTAAGCGCTATTCATGGTAAGTGCCCTACACAGGTGTCCTTTTTTTTGTTTTTGTTTTTGTTTTTTTTTTTGGTTGTCTTTTATACTGTTTTGTTTTGAGACAAAATCCCACTCTGTTGCTTAGGCTGGAGTGCAGTGGCATGATCTCGGCTCACTGTAACTTCTACCTCCTTGGCTCAGGTGATCCTCCCACCTTAGCCACCTGAGTAGTTGGGACTGCAGACACACACTACCACACCCTGCTGGGTTTTTTTTTTGTTTTGTTTTGTTTTTTGGTATTTTTTGTAGTGATGAGGTTTTGCCATGTGGCCCAGGCTGGTCTTGAACTCCTGGGCTCAAGTGCTCTGCCCACCTAGGCCTTCCAAAGTGCTAGGATTACAGTCGTGAGCCATCAGTATAGTGTATTTTAAGTGTGTTTCTTATGTTTTGATATTTTTAGATACACAAATACCACTGTGTTACAGCTGCTTACAGTGTTCAGTACAATAACATTCTGTACAGGTTTGTAGTGCAGGAGCAATAGATTGTACTAGGTGTGCAGTAAACTATACCGTCTAGATTTGTGTAAGTTCACTCTGTGATGTTTGCACAGTGACGAAATCACCTAATGTTGCATTTGTCAGAACATATCCCTGTCATTAAGCAACGCATGACTGTACCTATAAAAGAAAACCAGTTAAAATGACAACTGTTTTTCAAGAGCAACAGTAGAAGTCAGAGGTTAGCGGCATACTTCCAAAATTCACCTAGAATCTTTTTTATACACTGCAATTATCATGGACAAGGACAAAATCAAGACAATTTTGGTCAAAGAAAAAATAAAAGTATTAACCTCCTACAAACCCATACCATAGGAAGGAAAATAACACCAAGAGGAAAGTCTGAGATATAAGAGGGAGTTGTAAGCAAAAAGAAAGAGAAAAAAGTAAATATGAAGGAAATCTAAACAAACATTGATTATGCAAAATAATGTCTCATTTGGAGAGTAAACAAATAGAGGAGATCTAAAATATTGAATGAAAATACCATTTAAGATGGGAAGCTGGTTATCAGTATTCCAGTGTTTTAAGGGTACAGCTATTGATTAAGGCTTTATATATACATGGTGAAAGAGTAAGGGACAGCCACTTAGTTGGTACAAATAGAGTGCATACTTCAAACACTGTAGAGGAGATAATGGCATTTAAAAGTTATTGGTCAATGCCAGGTCGGGCGCAGTGGCTCACGCCTGTAATCCTAGCACTTTGGGAGGCCGAGATGGGCGGATCACTTGAGGCCAGGAGTTCAAGACCAGCATGACTAACATGGCAAAACCCCGTCTCTACGAAAAATACAAAAATTAGCTGGGTGTGGTGGCACAGCTACTTAGGAAGCTGAGGCACAAGAATCACTTGAACCCAGGTGGCAGAGGTTGCAGTGAACAGAGATCATGCCACTGCACTCCAGCCTGGGCGACAGAGGAAGACACTGTCTCAAAAAAAAAAAAAAAGAAAAGAAAAGAAAAGAAAAAAAGAAGAAAGAAAAGGAGAAAAGGATGGAGAGGATATTGAAAAGGGAGGAAGAGCCAGACTATTTAAAGTCTTTTATGCCAAGAAAAAGGAGTTTGGATTTTAACTGAAATAGGAGGCCATTGGAAGATTATTCAAAAAGACTGTTGAGTCTGACTTGTGTATTTAAAAATTACTCCAGCTGCTATATGAAGAGTAGATCCTGGAGGGACATGAGTGGAGGCATGGAGATGACAGTGACAGCAGTGTAAAATGTGAGAAGAGCCCATATTCAAGGTAGATTTGGGGGATAAGTCTTTCTGAAAGGACTTGCTGACAATGGATGTGGGGAGTGACAGAAACAATGCAATCAAGATTGACTCCTGGGTTTGGGGATAAATCAACAGAGTGTAAGGTGCTACCATTAACTGATCTGGAGAAAAAGAAGTTGGGTTGGATAATAAGTATGGGGTGGAGATACTAAATTTGAAATGTTAACTAGATAACCAAGTACAGTAGGCAGTCGTAGGTCACAATCTGGAGTTCAGAGCTGAGAACAGAATTGAGATATTAATAATGGAGTTATCAGAACATAGATTATAAATTGTTGTAAGTAAGATCAGTTACAAAGTGAACA